GCTGGTGGAACCGACCTTCGAATCTCTGGAAATGGAAGTAAGCTCAACAATTATGAAACAAGATAGTCCTCGAAACCCAACTTTTCTTCGTATGATTGGACTTTATTCTCACACCGACCTCATATGGTACAAGGGGGGGGAGGGACTTTCGAGAAGCAAGTTGCTGTTTGAAGTCACCTGCTTTCATGTTGTGAGGGGAAAAGTTTACAGGAAACTCGAGCATCGCACCGTTTTGAGGAGTCCAAACCGGATCGTGTTGTCAGGGCAATCCGAATGAACTCACCTTGTCCCAGTTCTTCCCTCCGAGAAGTCAGGTTTGTCACGAGAGAGAATCTACTTGTCTCTTTGACCTGTTGTGGTTTGCTGTTCAGTCTGGCAAGACCGAGCGAAGATGACGATGAGCATTTCTGTTAATCTACCGGATGCTTACTCAAGAGAAGAGAGTGCCTTCATTCAGGTCGCCTTGACAACATGACCAAGTTGCGAAAAATAGGTCTAAACGAGACCCTCTCGGCCTCCATTTCTGCCGCACAACCGGTCCGTCAGACGATCACTTTGATCCTCCGCAACGTCAAGTTATGGCTTCGATTGGACGTCTCGGCCAGCAGAACTGGCGAGCGCGAGTCTCGGCTCCCGACGCAGAGTCCAGCTCCCTCATCTCTCACACTTTCCTCCTTCGTCTGTCCGTGCATCCTTCTGTTTGTCTGCCAGAGGCTACGTCCCTTTCTGCCACTTTCCGCACCCCTCGAGGCATCCATCCGTGATTCGGCGAGTGTATACGCTTGTCTCTATGACCGTTTAACTTCACCAAATGTCGATTCGTGCAGCATTGCATATTTCACTCTTTCTCTCTCTATTCCTCTCTCTCATACACACATACACACATATACACATACATACACATGCATACAGATGGACAGATAGATTCCAAAGCTCTATGGAACCAGCAAATCACATGCTCACTTACCCATCTACACCAGCTCACACTCACACACGCACACATTAGTGACACACGTTATTATGCAACGATGCGAACATCGAAGGGAATACCGACTTGACGACAAACTGGCCGGACACAGTTCTGAGTCTCGCTCGAGTCCCGTGGACAAGGCCAGGCACTTGCGGCGAGACGTAGTGAGCACCCTCTCTGCTCGCCTTTTGGGTGGAAAAGAGGCTAAAAGTAACGGTGAAATATATTTATGTGTATGTATGTATGCATGTATATGCGCGTATATATGCATACATGTGTGTGTGTGTGTGTGTG